CAACTCCCTGTCAAGAAAGACAAGGGAGTTAGTCGAAGACCAGCTTCGGCGCCCACTCCCGCAAAATCAACATCCCTGACAAACGGGCGTTCTCATCTGAATCTCTGTCACGGAAAGGCCGCCGGCAGAAGTCGAGCGTGGACTCATCATCACAGAACCGCCTACCTCTCCACAGGCTCATCGCAAGACTTGTTTCCTTTCTGACTGAGGTCGTTCTGCAACTACAAGTGATCGAATCTTGGATCTGGCTACACGCTCTCTTCCCCAAGCCCGCACTCTTCAACCCACCATCAATTTACAAGAAGAACCAGCCGAACAGAAAGGAATGGCGTACAAGGGCTGTGCTGCATCCGCTCGCGGCAAGTGTAGAGAAGCCACGTGTCCTCCTTAAATTCAACTTGCAGCGGCTGGCGCCTTAAGGCTCCAAACGGGCAGTGGAGGTCGGCCGGAAAGCTTCCACGGTCTACATCCCGAACTTCAACAACCCTGACTCCTCAACCCCTGAGCCCTTATCCCCAAAAACCTCAGAGCCCTAAATCCTAAAGGCAGCATTCTCAAATCAGCTGTGCCTAGATGCTGTGTACCGCAGCCGTTTCGCACAGGCATTTCTCAGGAGCCGCAGATGCAAGACTTGGGCGGCGAGAACTTCAAGGTCTGCGATGCGGGATCTTCCGGCACGACCCTGTGAAGTCGCGAGTCTCCCCCCAAACCAACACTGCAGGAAGCTTTCTGTGCGTGTATGCCAAGACAGCAGCCCTGTTCCAACAGCGAGTCTTCGAAGCTGTCCCGAGGGATGTGCAGATGGCAGCGCAATGCCAAGTCTGCGACGCTTCGTCCAACGAGCACATCGCGATGCATACCTGTCGGCTCGCACACGCCGTGAACCGACCCTCTTTACCATCACATGCCGGTAACAACCAAGTGGGCGTTGTTGGTCTTCTGGCAAGAGATACGGCAGGGACGTCCTTCACGTGTCTCTTTGCATGCCAAGCTCTCCTCTGCCGCGGGCTGTCGGATTATTCTTATACCACGCCTGCAAACGCTGCTTATGGAGACGTCCCTGTCCGCTTCAAGCGGCGAGCCTTCTGACACAAACCTCTGTGTGCACGCCCGACCACGGTGCTACGGAACACGGTCACAGGTGCAGGAAAAACAACGAAAAGCGGGTCTGATGCAACGATCTCTCTAGCTGCGAATGGAGGTCGCAGATCCATGGCACTGTCCAGCTCGGTGCCTTCCACTCCTGTGAGGCCAAGCTCGGAGTGATCGGCCAGTCTTCAGCCCCGAGTGCTCACCGCGTCACTAGATTTTAGGGTTTAAATGGGCTTAAAAGGCTTCCTATTCCTGGCTAATGCTTCGTGGGCCCGGGCGATCTCAGCTTGAGGTCGGGGCCAGGCCCACTAGCCTCACTAGGCATGGGAGGCTACGGCCGCTCGCCTGCAGAGCGCGGCCGACAGGCTACTTCAGCCGAGATCCCCGGTTTAGATGGGTTCAGGGCCGCATACCCCAAATCTCACACCCTGGGCAGAGGAGATGAAGCCCTACAGCATCCGCTTTCGATGCCGCGGCGAAGCTGCTGCCATCGCCTCGCAAGGCCTGACACCTTCATCTGCTGTGGCCCCACGACAGGGCTTTGGTTTTGCCGCTGCCTTGCGTCAACGTCAATGGGGGGAACTGCCTTCGTGCAGCCCCGAAGCCTTGCGCCACGTTCAAGCTTTCTGCAATGCTTCGGGTCCAGGCTTAGGGACAGGAACTCTGAGGTGCTGCATGCGGGTACACTTAGTCAGCAAGGATGCTTCCACCTGAAACAAGCCTGCAAGGGAGAGAAAAACGTTCTGGGATGACAACGTAAAGAAATTTGAGTGATGTCGCCACGGCCGTTGCTACGACTACGAAGAGTATACTAGTCAAAGCAAAGGGACCGGTCCTGCTCGCAATGGGGTCCTTCACCGTACTTCGAGCCCTGGCAAGGGGGGAAAGAAAAACACGCCCAAGGTGCCATCCCGCACCGTCCATACCTGCTCTTCCCATCCAAGTCACTCCAGGGTTTAGTAAATTTAGGGTTAAGAGCTGCAGCATGCCATGAAGTCAACGGAAAAGACAGGCCGACAAGGCCCAGGTGCTTGAAAGAAGCCTTGTCTGCTTAAGCACTGTCTGCTGAGAAAGGGCACGGGTGCTCAGCAGAATGCAAGTATTCTAGACTGCGGCATTTGTATCCGCTCTGAAGTGAGAGGTGTTGTTTGCTTGTCCTCGGGAGTCGATGCCAGCTGGCCACGGTGCGGAAGGTCAACTAGACTCTAAGGTGCCTGCCGTGAAAATGCTTGCCGTACCTCCCGGCATACGGTTTCTGCCTTCAATCTTGGACCTTACATTCGGAATTCCTGTACAGCTGTACTGATAAGCTGAAGCTACAACATGTTGACAAGGCAGGGCAAAACAACATCCCTCGCTGCTGGAAGGAACCTCGTGAAGCGTGGCTTCTGCAAATGACAATTGCAAGCTAGGCTTGCTGAGAACTCCAAGTGTTGGGCCTCATGCTGGCCGCACAACGCTTGCACTCAATCTCCATGCCATCACCGATGCCTTGGTCTGTACAGAACCACGCCTGAACCACGCCTGTTGTGCTCAAGCAGCACGCAACCTGTCTGACAGGCTCTGCAACCGCCATGTCAGTCGACAAGCAGCAAGACCAGGAGTCAAAACCTGTGTCTACGGCGCCAAGAGAGGAAAAGTGGCGTCACAACGGCGCGCTGTTCCGCAAGGCCGGTTCGCTGAGCGTGCTGCAGAGCAACCAAACTCGCACGAACGTTGCCCAAGGTCCAATCCCACTGCACGCCTTGCACAATCGCATCGAAGCAGCGCAACATCTGCCAACACTGGTCTTTCACGGACGGCAGAAGCAGCCAAACCATGCTCGGTGCGCACTAGCGTATGCCGGTGCAGTCGGCGGCAGCAACGCGAATCCCGATCCAAACGCGACCTCAATATCACGACAAGTCTTTTGGAAGATGGGGAGGCCCTGCTTGCGTGCAGACAATAAACTGCACATGCGATGCACATCATTGGCTCTGCATGCAGCCTCCGCACGCCAGTGACACTGCCAATCGACGGGACCCTCGCGTAGCTCGTCGCTTTGCACAGCAAGGTCTGAAGCAGAAATCTGACATCAACAAGCACTTGGCTGCACCACAAGCTGTGGAACACGCTAGCCTCAACACCGCCTCAGTACAGAACGTTCGGAGATGTCTTCGAAAGCAGCCAACATCCGTGCCGCCAGACGTTAGCCAACAGCATCTTCGCGATCGTCAGCATAGCTCGATTCCACAAGAAGGCTTGCATAGCCTGTCAGGGAAGATGGGATCTTTGCACGAGGTCAGCACACCAACCAACCATTGCAGAGGTAGGTAACACCTGCACCTGGCAGAGTTCTCGTGTCCAGGTTGGATTGGATCCTCGTGGCAACGACACTGCACCATGCCATTGTGACGCGAGACCTTTGCATCGTCAGACTGATGTCCATCGAAGTCTGACAAGGATGATGGTGCTGGCTGTATGGAAGCAAACTCCAAGCACGGTGTTTCAGGGTGCTGATGTTTGCAATTGGCATGGAGTCGTGAGTGTTACGGGCTGCACGGAATGCATCGAAATGGAGATGGCAAGTACTGCTTCAAGCCTTTCACAACATCGCGAATAAACTTCAAACCTGAGACCGTTGTTTGGTGCAGCACATTGGGCTGAGACAGTCGAGCAAAACCGCATCGAAGCAGCGCAACATCTGCCAACACTGGTCTTTCACGGACGGCCGCGGCAGCCAAACCATGCTCGGTGCGCACTAGCATATGCCGGCGCAGTCGGCGGCAGCAACGCGAATCCCGATCCAAACGCGACCTCAATAATATCACGACAAGCTTTTTGGAAGACGGGGAGGCCCGTCACAGGCATGCCTGCTTGCGCGCAGACAGTAAACTGCAAATGCGATGCACATCATTGGCTCTGCATGCAGCCTCCGCACGCCAGTGACACTGCTACTCGACGGGACCCTCGCGTAGCTCGTCGCTTTGCACAAAGTCTGAAGCAGAAATCTGACATCAACGAGCGCTTTGCTGCACCACACGCTAGCCTCGACACCACCTCAGGACAGAACGTTGGGAGATGTCTTCGAAAGCAGCCAGCATCCGATCTGCCAAACGTTAGCCAACAGCATTTTTGCGATCGTCAGCATAGCTCGATTCCACGACAAGGCTTGCTTAGCCTGTCAGTGAAGATGGGAGCTAGCGCAGAACCTACGCATCTTTGCACGGGGCCAGCGCACCAACCAACCGCTTCTGAGACAGCCAATGCTGAGACATGGCTGAGCAATGCAGTTCGCGTGGCGAGGTTATGTTTCGTCTTCGCAGCAACGAGAACGGACCACGCCGATGTGACACCAGGCCTCTGCATCACCAGGCTGATGTCCATCGAAGTCCGACAAAAGTGATGTTGTCTGTTCTGCTTGCCGAGTGGTTGAAGCACAAAGCTTAACAGCCGGTGCGACAGATGCTCAATGAGCTACCTGCCTGTCGGCGCTCTCGCACAAGGTTCCAATCTTTTGCCTCTTTGAAAGTCATGCATGGCAAATGTCCCGAACTGACAATGCGTGTGGTGAGATACCCGACGAACAAATGCGTGCACTTGGCTCGGGGGATGAGAACAGAACAAGGCTTCAGTTCACCTTGTACAGCACCATGGTGTCCGTGTCTGGCTTTGGGCACCTTCCGACACAGGTATATAGAATCTCAATCGTGCATAATTATGCTTCATTATGACTCCTTGTATCCTGCGGAAGCCTAGCGCAACTTCATCGAAGCAGCGCAACATCTGCCAACACTGGTCTTTCACACGGACGGCCGCGGCAGCCAAACGTTGTTCGGTGCGCACTGGCATGTGCCGGTGCAGTCGGCAGCAGCAACGCGAATCCCGATCCAAAGGCGACCTCAATATCACGATAAGCCTTTTGGAAGATGGGGAGGCCCATCACAGGCATTCCTGCTTGCGCGCAGACAGTAAACTGCACATGCGATGCACATCATTGGCTCTGCATGCAGACTCCACACGCCAGTGACACTGCCAATCGACGGGACCCTCGCGTAGCTCGTCGCTTTGCACAGAAAGGTCTGAAGCAGAAATCTGACATCAACAAGCACTCTGCTGCACCACAAGCTGTGGAACACGCTAGCCTCGACACCACGTCAGTAGTCCACAACAAGGCTTGCATAGCCTGTCAAGGAAGATGGGAGCTAGCGCAGAACCTGAGCATCTTCGCGATCGTCAGCATAGCTCGATTCCACAAGAAGGCTTGCATAGCCTGTCAGGGAAGATGGGATCTTTGCACGAGGTCAGCACACCAACCAACCATTGCAGAGGTAGGTAACACCTGCACCTGGCAAAGTTCTCGTGTCCAGGTTGGATTGGATCCTCGTGGCAACGACACTGCACCATGCCATTGTGACGCGAGACCTTTGCATCGTCAGACTGATGTCCATCGAAGTCTGACAAGGATGATGGTGCTGGCTGTATGGAAGCAAACTCCAAGCACGGTGTTTCAGGGTGCTGATGTTTGCAATTGGCATGGAGTCGTGAGTGTTACGGGCTGCACGGAATGCATCGAAATGGAGATGGCAAGTATTGCTTCAAGCCTTTCACAACATCGCGAATAAACTTCAAACCTGAGACCGTTGTTTGGTACAGCACATTGGGCTGAGACAGTCGAGCAAAACCGCATCGAAGCAGCGCAACATCTGCCAACACTGGTCTTTCACGGACGGCCGCGGCAGCCAAACCATGCTCGGTGCGCACTAGCGTATGCCGGCGCAGTCGGCGGCAGCAACGCGAATCCCGATCCAAACGCGACCTCAATATCACGACAAGCTTTTTGGAAGACGGGGAGGCCCGTCACAGGCATGCCTGCTTGCGCGCAGACAGTAAACTGCACATGCGATGCACATCATTGGCTCTGCATGCAGCCTCCGCACGCCAGTGACACTGCCAATCGACGGGACCCTCGCGTAGCTCGTCGCTTTGCACAGAAAGGTCTGAAGCAGAAATCTGACATCAACAAGCACTCTGCTGCACCACAAGCTGTGGAACACGCTAGCCTCGACACCACGTCAGTAGTCCACAACAAGGCTTGCATAGCCTGTCAAGGAAGATGGGAGCTAGCGCAGAACCTGAGCATCTTTACACAGGGTCAGCCCACCAACCAAAACCTTCTGAGATAGCCAACGCTGAGACATGGCTGAGCAATGCAGTTCGCGTGGCGAGGCCATGTTTCGTCTTCGCAGCAACGAGACCGGACCACGCCGATGTGACACCAGGCCTCTGCATCACCAGGCTGATGTCCATCGAAGTCCGACAAAAGTGATGTTGTCTGTTCTGCTTGCTGAGTGGTTGAAGCACAAAGCTTAACAGCCGGTGCGACAGATGCTCAATGGCCCGCGGTTCTGCATGAGCTACCTGCCTGTCGGCGCTCTCGCACAAGGAGTGCTGAGCGACTTTCGCCTCTTTACACGAGCCGGACCCCCTCGTTGTGGAAAGTTCAGCCGGAAACATGCAGTAATGCCGTTGTGCAAGCAAGGCTGAGTATTCTGCAAATACGCCGCATTGAGCCACCACGATCAAGCCGAGCGACGCAGCAACAGCAATTGCACAGCATCGTTGCCGTGCCCTTGGCTTCGTCCAGCAAGGTATGTACGAGGACCCGGATTTCAAGCGAATCTCAGCCAGGACATTGCACGGTGGCCTGACTGCCTCAGTGCTTGGGGCCTTGAAAGACCTGCGACTGCTCTCAAGACACAGCGCCATCAAAGGCACGTGCGGCAGTTCCAGCTTTGAGACTGTGCAGTCGACGAGCCGTGTGGACAAATGCGTGGCCAGCTGCATGTTCTGCTGGCTACATGTAGCATGAATGCTGGGGCGATGTGCAGACGTGGACGTCCTCAGCCTGCAATCGCCACCCACATCAGGCTTTGAGTGGAGATGCTTTTGGCCAAGTTTCAACCGACACGCGAACCATCATGCATCCTTAAGGCCATGAAGTCTAGGCGAAGAAAACTGAGGGATCCAGACTCACCAGCATGGATTGCGAGTGAAGTAATTGCAGACATCCAAAATGGTCTTGGTGATCAGCAGCCGCATTTTGCTAGCCCTCCACTTTGGCTGGGCCCTTAGCCTATCCATGAGGGTGAGTTACCACACCTGGTGTGGTAACTCACGCCCGTGGAGAAGCCTTGGCCAGAAGAAGCTTTGCCTCTGGGGCCTGAGATATGCTTGAAGAGGGTTGTCCGGGGTATATTCTACTGAATGGATAACTAGCCTCTGAGGAGGGAAGATAAAAAACCTCAACCCTAAACCCCAAACACTCATTACTCAGGATTCAAGACTAGGCTCGGGGGCTGAAGGCCTGATGGTTCAGGCCAAGAAGCTTGGGGTTAGGGATTTTTGGGCCTCCAGGCTACCTCAACCCCTCAATCCAGAAGCGTTAGGGTTGAGGGTTTGGGATGAGGGAGGCTACTAAAGAGGCCTTAATAATTAGCCCGAATCGAGTTTGGGGTGGAATAGTATTAGTCTTTATTCGGGCCTCGATATTGCAGCTTCGTGAGATGTTATGAAGCGCCGTGCCTGCAAGCAGAGCTGCGCCACTCAAAGGGGTGGAGGTGCCGAGCAAGCCCTTTCAACTTGACGGGGCATGGATGTGGATACTCCCTTCCGCAGGAGAATGGACAGCGTGAGAATCCAAGTAGGCCCGAATACAGAGGTTCGGCTGGCAAGGCCTTTGCTTACGTTGGAGGACTGGGGCTCAATATTGGAGACCGCAGGCCCAAGGGATCGAATCTGCTGGCACGACGAATGCTGCTGCCTGATAATGGGACAGTGCAGCTCGAAACAGTCACGAGTAGCCAGAGAAAGACTATTTGAACCGGCCATCAAGATGGTGGTCGCGCTAGTTATACAGCTTGTACAGCGGACGCTTACCTCAGCAGCCAGGATGCTGCCGACGCCACGGGCAGCCCACATCATTGCAGGGCCTTCTGGACTCCGGGAACTCCTGAAGAGATCAGCTTACCGTGCTTTCCTGACTATGAGCCACAGGAATCAGCACCCCTTGCAGCAGTAAGTGCGATTTTGCACACAAGTCAAATGAACCGAACGATCCGTTGCTCAGCGCAAGCAGCACACTACACCGATGCCAGGGCGTGATACAGACTGACTGCAGCTGTGCAGCGGAACCAGATGCCCCGAACCATATGGCGAAGCCCAGAATGCCACACCTACTTTTGAGGGCGGCCCGCAGAATGAAAGACCCCAGCTCTACAGAGCGCCATCAGGCATAGCTGACCCAGAACCAGGTCTCCATCAATGGAAGCTATGGGGTGGCTCACAGCCCCATTGCAAGAGATCTCAAGGGGCAATCATGTGGCTTCGAGGGAACGAATACCGCCACGAAGGTCTGCTAGCAGCTTCAAGCCCTTGGATAGGCTGCAGCGGAAGTAGATACCTCGATCTTTTTGCAATTTGGAGCGTTTAGGTGTGGAAGCCCTCCGCCGAAGTGGAGTCGAGGGGAGGGGGCCAAAGGGGTTTCGACCCTGCTCCCGCATTCGAATCCCTTCCAGGCCCTCACTGTCATACTCCTTTCAGGTTGTTGAATCATGTCCAGAACAAACGGCCAAGGCGAGGGAAGACTGGCAGTTGGTAATGGGAGTGGCGGTGGCGCCCACTAGCTCCGCTCGACGGCGCAGCATTGCACGTGCGCGATGAGCGCGGATTGCTTGGTCTGCGCTGCTGCCTTGAGCTTTCTGTGTACCACATCTAGTGCCGAAATCATAGTCATGGCACGAAGGCCCCGGACACGAAGCGAAACTGTAAATTTGAGAACTCCCCCTGTGCAAAATCCACCAGACATCCGTCCAGACGGCTAGCTGGGCCTTCCATACAAGCTTGATGGGCATATTCTGGGATGGTTCTAGTCGGTTCTGGAGGCAACACGACTGCGGGAGATATACATGTATCGCTGTGCCAGTATTTGAATGCTGCGGCCTTCCGGCCTATCAAGGCTCCGATGACAAATGCGACGTATTTCCAGGTGGCGGTGCCGCTCTTGCGACTAGGTGTAGGTCCCGCTCTCCGACGGAAACGCGCGCTCTCCCGGCCCCTGGCCATGTTCGAAAACTCGGCGATTCAGCAAAAGCTAAACCCTAAAAACCCCCAGTCACAAAGCGTTTCCTTTTAAAGTACGCAGAAAGCGTGGCCGAAGTTGCTCCTGTCGGAGCATCCGAATCTCGTTGCATCTGAAGTGTGTCGCCTTTCCCCATGTCACCCGCCTACTCTCCTCCTATGCGTGAAATCGAGACACTGGCCATGACATGAAAGTTTGAAGGCTAATGGACCTCCCTGCAACTGGACATCGAAGCAGGCAGATCTTGCGAGAGGGGTGTAGCCGAACCAGGGGACCCCCGCTACTTACCAGTACAATGACGGGACTCACCGAAAAGGTTGATGCGGCAAGAAGCGATGGGAATCTAAACACACTTCTCAGCACGCTAGCTTCGGAAGGCCAATCACAGCTTCACACGCTCTCTTGTTACAGGACGCACTTAGGACATCTCCTCGATGTCGATGCGCCAGAGGTGGTCTGAGATGCCTACTGCTTAGGGTTGAGGGATGTTGAGGGCTTATTGTCTGGGATGTGCTTTGGGTTGAAAGGGATCAGCCGCTCAGGGTGTTGCTGCTGCTCGGAGCCTCCGGCAGAGGCACTGGCCGAATGCTGTAAAGCAAGCGGAAACCAATTGGGAAGACTTCAAGGGGACGCAGTGCAGAAGAGAAGCTGCAACATGGCTGTCGGCGTCCGCTTTGCTCCTGTGTGATGGAAATCAAAGCCTAAACCCACATGTTCAACAAGTTCTTCGGGGCAGGTCGGCGAGGGTGCGTGGGCGGGAAGCGACGGAGGAGGGCAGAGGCAAAGAGGAGAGAATGCCACGGTGAGATCCTCCCCGCAAAACATGGCACTGCAACGACGAGCTATTTGGTCAAGGCGGGCTGCGAAACTGGCAGGTTGAGGTCCTCCCCACTGCAAGTGCCGCCCGAGGACTCTTGTGATGATGGCTTGTGTGAAATCGCCTCAACTGCTTCCTGATTCCGCTACTGAGCACCTGTTGCAATGGCACATTGCCCAAACCGCTCGCTGCGATGCCGGTCCCGTGCCACCAATACAAGCGACTTGTAGCCCTCATCGTAGTCCTTAGGGTTCTCTTGTTGTGTACACAGTACAGAGCCTCCCACAAGCCTAGTCCCAAGGACCTTCACATTAGTCTCAGGACCCACCTGTTGGCTTTCTCATTCCAAAGCGAGAGGCCTGATTTCATCGCTGCCACAGGCAAGTTCAGCCTGGATGCTCTCGAGCGCCCTTTCTGATTTCCCTCTCGGCAACGCCAGGTGAGAGGTAGCTCAAGAAGCCAAAGATCTTCGACTCACATTCGAGATGAGCTTGGGCCTGTCAGCCGGCCGTCCCCCCAAAAAGTTGGGATCGTAACAGACGGGGATGGAGTCTAGGCGACAGCTCCGGCTGAAGGCTGTCACGGTCCACCACCTGCCGCAGGCTGAGAAAGTGTGTTTACGCCTCCCTGAGCAGGGAAACAAAGCACCTATCCTATGCTAAACTCAC